GAGTAACATTTAAAGGAAGAGTTTTTAGCTTGATCAAAGTAGTGCAAGAATAAATTTCATTCGTTTTATTATTTAAAATAATATTGTTATTTAATACAGTAGAAACCGCGACGTGCGTTTACTGAAACTGATCATCCGGATTTTTTTTTTCCTTTGGGTGCTTTTATGTTTATACTTATTTACATTAATGACAAGTTTTATTTTACAATTAACTGAAACAAAATTATTGATAAATTTTTCGTTATTTTAATCACTTATTTAAGTAGTATTTATAAAAAAAAAAGAAACGATGTTTTTTTAATTTTAAATAATTATATAAATTGAGTCATATCTTACTTTTTTAAACGTACTTGATTCATGTTTAGTAATAATTATGTGAAATTCTATGTTAATTGTTCGATTAGTTAACGAACTCCTAAATAATGTAAAAACAGTTATTGTGAAAATTGGAATTTTTATTTTTTTTAGGAACCTCTCCCTACATTTTGTTTGGTTTCTAATTCTTATTTTAACAATGAATAGTGTTATTTTGTTTTTGGTTGTTAACATCCAATTTTTTCCGCAAGTTTTTTTTTTAATTTATTGTGATTAAGTGTGTTTTGTGGTGGTTTTGCTTGGTAAATAAAAGTGTGAAGTGACGATATGTCTGTTAAAAGAAAACAGTAGTAATCTCAATTGAACAAAAAATTGAATGGAGAGCTTTTGAAAAGAATAGCAGAAGATTTAAATGTCGGAACCTCTACTGTTTCCGATTGGAAAAAAAAAAATAATAAAACCGCCAGCAGTACGGTACAACGTAAAACGATGAAGAAGTTTGAAAATGAAGAACTAAATGAAGCTCTTTTTTTCATGGTTCATGCAGGAGCGGGAAAAGGGTATACATCTAACAGGCCCGTTGATCCAAGAAAAAGCCAGAGCTCTTGCATCACAGTTCGGAGAAACTTCGAAGTCTTTTCTTGCGAGTTCAGGCTGGTTGGATAGGTGGAAGTCTCGCTACGGAATCAAACAGTTAAGCGCTTACGGAGAAAAATTTCTATCCGATGAAAGATCTGTAAATCTTTTCATAAATGGTATTAAGTCGCTCTTAAAAGAATACACAAGAGATCAAGTCTTTGACTAGCTAACTCTTGATTGCTTCGTTCTACGATTAAGTCATGGGAAAGAAAGTGTTTAATAATTAAATTTTCTTCAAGAATATATATTATTTTATGAGTTTATCTTCAATGGTCCAAAAGTAAGATCAATTATAACTTTACATTTCAATTCCAAAAATTTGCAGATTTTTTTTTACTTTGACTTACGTATATGTGTAATATATAATAAGAATTGCGATCGAGAAAATTTTTGGATCTGAGTTTTCAACGGAAATACACTTTTTTTACTACCCTGAGTAACCAAATAACCAAGTCTCGAAAAATGATCTGTGTGTATGTATGTTAGCAGTCTATCTCAAAAACGAAAAGACGCACGAAACTGATATTACGTATTTAAGATAGATATATGATTTAGATGTGACAGCAACTTTTTTCTTGAAATCTGTTAACCGGAAGTTCCACTCAATATCAACGCTGAAACACATTTTAACAATTTCCTCAAAAACGGCTATAACGATTTTGATTAAACTCGGTGTATCATTGTATAATTAGGTGGTCTTTGATATCAATTAGGTCTTATTCTCGTTGACGTCACTTTACAGAGCTTACATGCCTAATGTTCATATGCGTCTTCCTGTAAAGTACCTTTAATATGGCTTATTTTAAAAAAGTTAATCATCTCACATTATTCAGAGTTACGAATAAATGCTAAATACAACTTTTGAAAGAATTTGATAAGTTAATAAAGGAGAAAAAAATAAAAATGCTTATCCAGATCGAAAATGAATCTCCGGAAATACCGGTCTTTGTATACGTACGGAAATACTTTCTCTGTCGTCTCCGTTACTCCGCAAGTAGGGCATAGGGAACCTATCTTTTCCAAGGCTATGTAACACCGCGAAATCCCCCTTGCCCTGTAAGGAATTAAAAGACCCAGTAGTCCAGGATAACCCGCTTCGCGTTCAAGCGACTTCGGACGGAGGGGAAATGTTTTCTTAAGGTTGCCACTCACCGGCGATTCCACTCATCTGTGCTATCCTCCCGGTTAACCTTTTTCCATTTTCTTGAGTCTTCAGCAATCCTCTCGCGAATATTTTCAAGAAGACCTGCTGAGCCTTTTCTTTTGAACTTAAATTTCAATGCGTCTTCTCGCAGGAGAATATCGAGAGGTACACGTCAGGTTAAGATCTGTACCATTTCGTGAGACACACTTTGGTATGACTTGGGAACACGCAACAGAGCCGTACCCGTACGTTGAATTGTCGCCAACCTGCGTTTCTGACGGTGTGAGATGCCCAATACTACTCCATTGTAAATGGTCATCATAGCTGGATATCTGAGGCCCCAAAATGTGTATCCCCTAGGCGACTAAGGCCGTTCAAGGCTTGAGGCAATCTATTTCCTAAGTAGTCCTAATGAGGGGTCATATTAAATCATCTTCCGAACCTTCCATTTCTTTCATCACATGACCAAATCCAAATTACATACGACCTACCCGTGAAATCCTTCACTTCCAAAATAGTTTCATAACGCAATTTAAATCTTCTCTCCTATGAATCCTTTCAACCAGACCTTAATTCTGTCCAATGGGGCACCATATATTCCTACAACTCCATTGATCCTATGGTATCCACCCTGACCTCAAACCTACAAACCATATGAGACATCCATGCTCCTCTGAAAACCAAAACCTTACGCCGTCCCACAGCTCCTTGGCTTACCAATGAGATAAAGGAAATGATGTGAGGGAGAGATGCAGCAAGGCGCAAATACCATCGAATTCGTCTACCTGTCAAGGAGGTTCGTAATGGAACCCAATCCGCAGTCCAACTTGCTAAAGGCACCTACTTCCATAATTCTCTGTCCAATGCTCACCACTTCAAATCAAAACGGAAAATACTCCGTAATCTATCCCTACCAGAATCCAATAATCTTAGTTCCTTCTCTCTTTCTTCAGATGATCTCAATAACCATTTCTTTTCCTTTACTCACACTTTCGATATTAAACATCACAACTTCAATCCTGAAGACTTTTTTTTCTCCCATGTGACCTACGATGAATTACTTTCCACTATCCTAAAATCCCACACTAATGATTATGCTCCTGATAATATTCCAGTAAAACTAATAAAATCCAGCCTTCCTGACCTTATTCCTGTTCTTTATCATATCTACAACTTTCCTTTGCAAAACAACTTATTCCCATCCTTCTGGAAAATCGCCCTAGTCCGACCTGTTAAATCAAATTGCCAACCCTACCTCACTGCACGACTTCCGTCCTATTTTTCTTCTGTCCAACCTTTCAAAGCTGTTAGAACCCTAGTCCAAAATCAGCTCTCCAACTTCCTTGAGGTAAGTTCCCTTATCAACCCATTCCAATCTGGCTTTAGACCTGGCTACTCAATGCAATCCGCTCTCCTTAAAATAACCTATGACCTCCAAAAGTCTATTGAACACCAAAACCTTACTATCCTCATCCTTCTAGATTTTTCCAAATCGTTTGACACAGTTGACCATAACATCCTCCTTACTAAATTGCACAATCTTCCTCTATCCAACAGTGCCCTGCGCTGGTTCAAATCCTTCCTTTCAAATCGGTCCCAGTATGTAGTCATCCCAGGTCAACCTCCATCTAAGACCCTCCCTCTCTCCTGTGGTGTCTCTCAAGGTTCCTCTCAATCTCCAACTCTGTTTTCTATTTACATTAATGACCTTCCCCTCCCGATCCATCACTCCCAACACCATATCCATGCAGATGATTTCCAAATATACCTGTCCTTCCCGCCCTCCGACCTATTATCAGCCATAGACAAACTTAATTAATTAATTATTATAATAATCAATCATTATTAATTAATTAAATTATTAATCAGTGAATAATGTTTAAGTTGGAAAAATTATTTATATAATTATATTAAAATATCTACAATAAAAATGTGTATGTATTTATACTATATTGTATTTATTAGCATTTAAATTGCGTTTATTAACATCAACAAAGTAGGTTTTAGTTTATATTATTGTATTTCAAATATCAACAATACATGTTTTGCCAAGGCCAGCCTCTGGCTGACGGTTTCCAGAACCGAGCCGTAAATATTTTTCTTGAGCTTGGATACTTTTGTTCTTGGTTATTGTATAAATACTCAATAAAGCTTCATTCATTCATTCAAGTATTTAGCTAAGATAATTTATATAAACAAATATGGACAATGAAAAAAAACATTATATTTCCATTTTTCGGAGAGAGGCTTCTATAATATAATATAAGGCTATAATATCTAAGGATATCCTATCATATAAGGCTCCTCCTCCTCTATACATCCACCAGTGCTTAGAAGACTAGCACAACACTATTGAATTATTTTCAATTTTTGCGGACTTTGAAAAACTGTCAATTTCCTTATCAAGTAATGATATAAATATTTCTTAGAAACAATAAGGATAATGTATTAAATTTGAAATAACACTTTATTATTAATTCATATGTTACTTCAAGTTAATTAAAATATGAATGAAGTAGTAAGGAATACAAATTATGAACAGATCTATGAAGCATTTTATTTAAGTACAAACATATATCACCTTAAAATCTTTTTAACTGTGGGTTGATGGTTGACTGTCGTGAATAATGAAGAGAAGGATGGTTGTGGTGGTCAGACAGAAATAAAATGGCAAAAATAAATAATATTTATTTTAACATTTGCCGACGTTTCGACTCGAAGTTCAGGCCTTCATCAGGGCTGATCGAAGAGATTGCTTGAATAGAGTGAACATTGGGTTGAAATGTCGGCAAATGTTAAAATAAATACTATCATTTATTTTTGCCATTTTATTTCTGACTGATCGCCCCAACCATCCCTCCCTTCATTAAAATCTTTTTGTCTAATAAAAATGGCTGCATTTCTACTTTTCTTGAATTTCATTGTATTTCTGAAAAAAATTTAAAAAATCAAATTACATTGTACAGTTTAATACAATATGAAATGTTGACATTTATAAAGTTTTACATCATTAGTATGCACATAACTGTTTATTTTAACTTAAGTGATAATTATATTATATTTCATTTCTTTAATGTTTTCCATTATTACTTTATCTTGAGCAGAAAATTGTTTCAATTTACAAAGCACATGAGCATTTTTATTTATTTTTTTCGTAACTCTTAATAATGATTGATAGTCAATTATTTAAAATTAACCATATTAAAGGTACTTTAGAGGAAGACCCATATGAACATTGAGCATTTAAGCCGTGTAAAGTGACATTAACAGGGATAAGACCTTAATGATATTAAAGACCACTATTTATTATATTTCTTGTTAATTTCAGTTCAAAAATATATTTTCTGCCACACCTAGGCTCAAATCTGGATTCAGGTACAAGATCTGTAGTGGCTTACTTACCTACCCTCTTTCCTCAAACAAACCAATTTGGAAAGTTTGCAAAAATATTAAACTGGATCACAAGATTTTATGAACATTATGATTTTGACTTATGTGGTTTTTCATGACCTATAAAGTATGTCTCATGGAGAGTGTTGGATTTACATCAAATTTTGTATAAATATATAATATTTCGAATTATATTTTCACTTGAATAAATAACACGGGGGCCCCCTGGTCTCATCCTGCACTAACCCCTCTCTAAGACGGCCTTATCTATGACCAACGGTCAGATGCTAGGGGATGAAGTGAAGAACCGGACGGCTTACGGCCTACCTGATCAGCCGACCTCAAGAATTACAGCCCTTCGGCTACACCAGCTCCAAGACTTTGGACGAGCGGCGAAGAGACAGAGAGAAGGCGTACAAGGGCAGGTGCGAGACCGGCTCCTCATCAAACTGTATGTCAAACCATTACATCAATTCGCAATAGAACAGGTTGCCCCTTTAAATTATTTTGTAAAACATAAATAAAGAGATTATTGACAAACAATTGCAGCGTCATTCATAGGTATTCCTCTATCGAACATTTTCTTCTTTTTATATATATCACAAGAACAGGAATCCCGGTCATAGAGCATGTACAAGGTCCCCCCATATTGTACAGAGAGAGTATTGATTTAAAGAAATTTTATGATCTAATAAATACCTATATGAAAAATATATCCTGCTTTTTATTTGTAAGACACGAAAGCTAGATTTTACTTTTGAAAATAAATGTTTAAAACTACCTGTATCGCTACTGAAGACAATTCAGCTATACACCCACTTTGTTCACACAAAGAACGGAAAATCCCCAATTGATTTTTAAGTAATAAATATGGATGGTCGAATTCCTAAAAATAAATAAATTAATTAATTAAATATAATCTATTAACAAACATAATACTATAAAAGAATTATCAGCATTTTTAGAACTAGAAAAAAATAAACTTACTACTAAATAACCATTATCCATCACCATTACTAAATCAGAATCCATAATGGAGTTCAATCTATGAGCAATGGTCATAACAGTGCAATCCATAAACTTTCTTCGAATGGTCTTCTGTATTAAGGCATCAGTTCTAAAAATATATATTTATTACTCATTAAAATAAAATCCAATTAAATTACCTCTAATTTGAAAAATATGTCCATTTTCGAACTTAATAATTTAACTCATCATACTTTAGATCAACATTTGCAGTGGCTTCATCTAAAACCAAAATTTTATTTCCACGCAAAATGGCTCGAGCCAGAGAAATAAGCTGTCGTTGCCCAACACTCAAATTGCTGCCTCCTTCTTGAACTTTTGTCTGGAGGCCTGCTGGAAAACTTTTAATGTATTCTTTTAATTCCACCTAAAGTAAAAAGCATATATTATCATAGCTATGTTTCTAAATTGAATAGAATGGCTTTGTTTATAAATAAAGATAAATGAATAACATTACTTCCTCTAAAGCTTTCCATATATCTTGGTCTGTATACTGATCAAAAGGATCTAAGTTATATCGAAACGTGCCCATAAACAGCACAGCATTTTGTGGTATTACTGATATTTTCGACCTCAGAGTCCAAAGACCAATACTGGAAATATCTAAACCGTCGATTTCAATCAATCCTTTGACTTCAAAAAGCCTGAATAGTGCTGAAATTAATGAAGACTTTCCAGCACCTGTTCTTCCTACAATGCCAACCTACAAAAAATGTAATGTAACTATTAAACTGATTAAATGAAAAACTAGTAAATATGAAAATGTAACTATTTCGACATGTACTATCAAATGCTTCGCTAAAGGTTTTTATATTTATTTTAACCATATGTACAATTAAAACTCAAATTGCAGAACATATTAAAAAACCAAAATAAAATACTATAGCTTTAGTCCTATAATAACCAACCTTCTGAGTGGGTTCAATGGAAAAAGAAATTCCATTCAAAATCCATGGAGCAGTATCATTGTACCTGAGATACACCTCCCGAAAAACTAGTTTACCCTTTGACGGCCATGAATCAGATGGCTTCTTGTCTATAAAATCAATTCATATTTATAAATTATATGATATATTTATAAATTTTATATATATATATATATATATATATATATATATATATATATATATATATATATATATATATATATTTGTTAGCAATTTTATCTATAATAGAGATTCATTGAAAATAAGTAATGAACTTTATATTAATATAAACATTATTTATTTATTTATTTTAACATCCTTATTAAACTAACATGGTTGAAAAAAAAATCAGTATAGGGTAAAATATTATTGACTTAACAGAACCAAAATTGTTGAACCAAGTACCCATGAGATTGAAAACAGAACAAACATGTTTTAAAGTTCCCTTAAGAGTTTCGAAAACTGGGTGTTTTTATTTTATTATTATTCTTCATCATATTATGAAAGTGTATATATTGACTGTAGAAGGTATATTGAAGAGAAGTTGGTTGGGATTTTCACTCCATGAAACTACAAAGAAACAATAAATGAATTAAATTTATTTTTATTTCCTAATAAAAATAGTAATACTAAGATAGCAAGATTAAAATAGTACATAGTAATAATATTACTATCTACCATTTTCTCAATATTTATATGTCATCTTGTCTATGCTTAACTCTCATGAAAATCTGAAACTTAAATGAAACGTTGGCACTTGAAAGGAAATTTCAATTACTGAAAACCTCAACCAACTTTTCTTCAATATTGTTTCTTTTAAGCTTATACATTATCTAATTATTCTTGATAAAACAGAAAAAAAAAAATCCGGTCATTCTTATCTGAAAAGATGTGCAGAGCATAGTAAATGAATAGTTCAATCGGTGGCTTGATATTTATTTTTTAATTATTTTATTTTATTTTTAAATTACCTTTGTGGGATAGGACATTGTTGAAAGGAGTTAGTGATAACTAAAAAAACTGTTTTGTGAATTTCAAATAATACTTAATATGAAATATGTACCAGGAGGACAAAGTAAAGGTGCTTCTTCTTTCAACTTGGTATAATCCAAAACTCTCTCGACTGATGTCATTTGATTTTCCACTTCAGCCGACTGCCTTATTCCCCATTGAAGACTGCTCGTTAGTTTATTGGTTTGAGTTATAGCCAATCCGACATTCCCACTAGTGATCACTGAGAAAAATATTATCATATTATTATTAAATATAATTATAATATAATATTATTGGAATAAATGCAATAATTTACTAAATCCTTAGCTTATGCTCACCTGGATCAAAGAATGTAAATGTTAACGTAATCAGGCCGTTGTAAAAGGCACATATAATCTCAAGCCATAAACTTACAGCACGTACGGCAGATATGAATATGTACCAAGCTGCTGAATGCGTGTCCTAAAAATTAGTTTATTTTCATTACAAAACTTGCAAAATACAACTTGTGTTGGCAAATCATAAGGCTGGACAAAAAAAATTTAAACAAGCCTTAGTCATTGTTAAGATCTGCAGCCTTGCCTATAAGTTAATCCCAATGATGATTATTTAATTATATTTTATAAATTTATATCTATTATATTGTAATGTACACCTTTATTGGAGGATATATGTTTGAAAGAGTAAATAATTTAGTGTATCTGGGGTCATTAGTTTGTGCAGAAAATATGCTTAGCCAAGAAGTGCAGAGAAGAATCACGTCAGCTAACATTTGTTATTTTGGCAAGGCTAAAATATTAAGAAGCCATTTGCTGGCTAGATCTATTAAGACCGCTCTGTACAAATCTCTTATTAGACCTTTACCAACACTAGAGTTTGGCAGCCCTTTGCACAAAACAAAGAGGTGTGGAGGCGATGTATTGATTCGACGATGACCCATACTGGGTTTTTTTAGTGCCTGTGGTGATGATGTAAAGTGTTTATTTATCAATAAGTTCAAACACCCATTAAGTGTAGGAGCCTTAATGAAGGTCTGCAAAATAGACTAAATGTTGGCACAAAATAAATTAAAAATAAAAATCTTTTATTTTTATTTGTGATCTCTCTGACTGTGCAACCCCAAATAATTTCCAGACCATATATTTTTTTTATCATGGATAAACATTTAAAATTAATAAATCAATATAAATCGATAAACTAATATTATTAAAATGAATCCATAATTTTTTTATTTGAATTTTGTAGTTATGAAAAAAAAGAGCTAATGCTTTGAGATGGTTTTCCAAACATTTTTTTTTTTTTAATATTAACAATACTTTATTTTATATCAATTTAAAGTTTTTTCCAAGGCAAATCCAAATGTAATCACAAGATTGGAAGAAGACTGATACAATTCAAACCATATTTTTTAATAGATAAGGATCTATGTGGGTGTATAAACACATATTTATGTATTATTACTATTGAAAAAGCTGGTACAACTCAAATATTAATGATTTTCCACTTTTGTGTAATGTTAGTACACAAAATGATTTTGTAATTGTAATAAGTAAAATAAAAAAACATTTTAATTTTTGAATTTATATCAGTCTTACAAGCTAGTGATATGATCTAAAATAAAAATAAAAAATCATCCTAAATATCTATAGATAGGAGTTTCTAAATTTTTATTAATCAGAGAAGTTTAAGTACATTTAAAGAGAATTTGTGTAGAATAGTAAATAAATAATTACAACTGATTTGATCCCTAGCCACTTCAATAATACTTTCTCAGATAGCTCTATGAAATATGAATAAATATTTATAAATATAAAACTGCTTTGTCAACTAACAGACAGTTTTTTTTTTTTTCAAATCCTGAAAAAGTAATTTAAAAAAAGTAAGTTTATAAAATTTACCTGATGATTATCAAATTCTTGCTGTACAATCGATTCCGCCTTCAAAGCACGGATTGTAGTCAAGCCTTGAAGAGATGCACTCAAGTGTGTGTATATTGGACTCCTTGCTGTAAATTTGAGATAAATTATTTTTAAATTAATTATAAAAAATTATATTAAATTCTAGTATTTAATCCTTCCTAATAAGAGCCAAGTTCTACAGGAATGGATAAGTGTATGGAAAGATCTTCAGATTTTCTCCCAAAGTGAAGTTCTGTGGATGGATCAGAAAATCGACCCATATTTTGAATTTTTTTTTTTCTTCCCCAACCTACCTAACCTGTACTACTATACACTGTTTTTTATTTTCAGATTTATATAATACGGTTCATCGAACCGCGACTTTCAAAAGATCCTTTATTTATTTGATCATCTTTCCTATGTAACTCTAGCCGTCCCTACATCTATCACTTCAATACCCTCCTCACCTTTAAATCTGTTGAGAAAAATTACTTTTTTATTTCTTATTTACTAATTGTATAAATGTGATAATAGATATTTTATTAATTTATATAATTTATAAAGCATAAATAAATATAACAATAAAGGTGGTAGCATTGGTTCAGACCAATGAGCTGCATGAGCCTGTTCCCAAATGGTGTCCATTAGTGTAACATCGAATCTCGACTGTTTTCGTTTTAATATCCCACCATCCCATTCATTCAATTCCAAAAAAATCGTTAATTCGTAAATAAATTATTGGTTCATTTTAAATTATTATTTCACATTTCTGTCATTTAAAAAAAAATTAATTAATATTAAAATTTAACTTGTAATTTTATTATTATTTCTATTTGTTTATTTTGTTATTCTTTTTTATTTAGCTCTGAAGATTTAAAGCCCACAATTCTGGTTTTATATTTTATTCTGAAGGGAATTGTCTCAGAATAAATAAAGAATATTATTTGAGGAGTTAGTCGGGGGTGCGGTCAAATAAATACTAAATTAAAATATAGTAATTATTTTAATTATTTATTTAATTTATTTTAATTAAATTTATTATTTTAATTAGTTTAATTTATTTATTTAATTTTATTTATTTTACTATATTTTAATTTAGTATTTATTTGACCGCACTCCCGACTAACTCCTTCTCATATTATATCAACGGTCAACCATCTCTACATCATTAAAGAATATTATTGTTATTGCAGCTCTTTGAGGGTCTTGGGTACTTTGTGATTACGTATTACATTTGTGATTATTAAGGAAGTACTTTTTTTAGGTCAACAGATATATAACAAGGTCATTTTGTCTGGATCAGGTCCAACCCAAATCTAACAATAACAATTTAAGTACTGATCACATATGCCAAACTTACTGATGGAGGACTGCAATAACAAGTAGAACTCTTTGTTAACAGCTGTAGAACAGAAATATCTCTTCTGGAATAATAAATGGGACATTGCTTCTTACCTCAAGATATCTTCTCTGTACAAGTGAAACGGTAAAAAAATTAAGGTCTCTATCAGCATAAAATATATTATAATGAAGATGTTAATATATACATACCTATTCCTTCAAACCTCTTAATAGTGCTCGTTGCAGCAACAAAAAATTGTCTCAGTAAATAAAACAGTACCATGACTATACATGTAGGGATGAGAAACCATGGATTTGTAACAGGTACTATTACAAAAATACCGATCGTCGATAAGAGGATCTAAAAAAAAAAAAAAATTAATAATTGAAAATGTTTAAACAATTGATTTGTAGCAGTTTACAATAATATTACATCTATGGCCAAGGATTAAAAGTAAATTCTATTACATTTCATAATAATTATGAATGATTATTAATACTATAAATAATACCTTATAAATAGACTAATAACTACAGTACCTCAACATTATGGAAATATAAAAAATGTAAAATAATCCACTAAAAACAATTTATGTTATTTATTATAAGATAAAATGCTATACAAAATTTTAAAGTTAACAAAAGAACAACAAACAAAAAGAGAAACAGCAATACCTGCAAGCAATCAATCATACAGCTAGGCAAAATTTCATCAATGTTCCCAATATCCTTTGAAAATCTGTTCAATATACGCCCTGAAATCATATCATTAATTGATAACAAAATGCCCTTCAGTGTAGCAGACTGAATTAATACTCAATAAAATTGTTTTGAAAAAAAATTATCTTAAAATTATGCTACAATTATAATTATAGGCTAATAACTTGTTTATATCTCAGAAGTCATTTCAGAGGCTGGTGGATTAAATTTCAGCTGAATTGAAGAGGGAAAAAAGTCTAATAACTCTACAAATATTTTAATTTAATTATAATAACAAACCTGAAGGATTCACATTGAAGAAATGCATCGGAGATCTAGAGACAGCTTTGAATGATTTATCATGCAGATTGACAGATGATTGCATACACACATTAAAAAAAAGTGCTGAACGAAACAGCGTTATAATTACATTGATCAAAATGAAGAGTGCCAGAATGTAGATACATAGATTCCTAGATGGATAATAATTAAATATGTCTATTATACTGCCACTGAGACTAGACTCATTTCTAAGCAATGACTTCTCCTCCAAAACAAGCCTGAAACAATATTTTTCTCTGTAATATTCAACAGTAAAATGGCACATACATACAAGGTCTGTGTGTCTGTGTGGCCATGCATTAAATTAAATATTCACTAAATAATATCTAAGAATGAGAGATTTAAATGAGAAAACTGATTGTGCATGTCGGGAAGGATAGTATTCCAAAAGGAGACAGCTTGAATTACAAAGGATTTGTCAAACGCAGCAGTTCGGTGAGGAGGAGGATAGAGGTCGGAAGAATGGGATCTGGTTGGACGGGATTGAATGGAGGATTTGAATTGTAGTCTCTGAAGAATATAAGAGGGTCGCTGACTTCTAATGGTCTTTCATTAGAGGAAGGGTGTCAATTGAAGATGATAATATAGAAATATTTATGAAATCAAAATAAAATGTTTTGTAGCACTTGTCTCATTAATTAATAGCCAAATCTCGTCTATATTTTATTATTTCAAACAATTTAATTTTTTCAATGGCATCTTCTTCTAATGAAATATATACCATAATCAGATAATAATTCATTTATTAGTATGAAATTAATCTTTTGAGCTTATTTTCCAATTCCCTATGATTAAATCTACATTACTAAAAATTAATTACTGTTGTATAATTTAACTAAATACATTTTTCTGAGAAAAAACAAATACAACAAGTTTAGCAATATATTAAACAATAAAGAAGGAAAATAGATTACATTTAATAGGTGTATTTTCTTTGATTTTTTTTTTATTATAAGAATAAAATATACACCCATAGAAAAATTGACATGTTTAAAATAACTAAATATAGAATAATTTGTAGGTTAATATCCTTTCAAAGAACTAATAACAGGTAATTATGTAAAGATATTACTATACTAGAATAAAAATATTTATTAAAGAAACTAATCGGTTAGCTTCATTAATGTGAAAATATTCTTTTTCATTAAGTATCTCTATAGAAAAGAAAAAAAAAATGAACAAATAAAATTTCAATTTTTTATCAAAATACAGAAGAAATAAAATAATACTTATGTATTAAGAAAAAATATAAAACAACAAAAAAAAGTGTACTATTAAGCTTACCAGCATATAAAATAAACAATAAAAAGCTTATCAGTATATAAAGTAAACAATAAAAAGCTGATCAGTATATAAAATAAACAATAAAAAGGTTATCAGTATATAAAATAAACAATAAAAAGCTTACCAGTAAGATATCCAATAATCACCACCAGTCGCAGCAGTCTGAGACATCAAAGAGAGTAATAGTAGAAAAAGGAGAACGTACCACTTGTTGCCAATTGTGAAATAATTCCAAAACACGCTAAACTTTAAATTTTTATTTGATAAATCCTCAACAATAGGAGTCTCTGGTTCTTTCAGAACATTTTCTTTTTCTGCGTTGATTTTCTAAAATAACAAGATCAATTAATATAAAGAAATAATAAAGATTGAAAATATACATAAATAAAACAATAACTTTACTTTATACAATACTTTAAAATATTTTAATTTTTTAATATAACTATTTTTCATGTTTTGGTGTTAAAAACATTTCATAATATATAAATAGCAAAATCAATTGGGTTTTAAAAGCTTATCAGCAAAATAGTTTTTTATAGTAGGAAAAACCTACATAATTATTATAAAAATGAACCTTATTCAAACCAGGAGGTAAAATACCATTTTTTTTCTACCTTTCCTCGCATTTTCGGCTATACAGAGTTTTTTGTGGACTATGGAAGAGGGAAGGAAATTAATCTCAGAGTTAAAAGTTCCCAGTACTGGGACTTGAACTCACAATCTTCACTTTATCAGGTTGCCGGGCAACAAACACATGTAAGTACCATTGTTCTTTATCAACTTCAACAACTTTATTTAGCTACTACAATGGCTACAACACTATTACCTCAATAATATTAATTGAGATCATGATCAGTAATTCTGAGTTGTGTAGCTTCCTGAAGTCCTGTTGCCTCATTTTTCTTTGAACTATTTTATGCAATATTCTGTTTTCAAAAATCTTAATTCATTCTTCTCTTTTCAATACCAGCCACATTTTATATATTCATAGGGAAATAAAATAGTCCTATAAATTCTTACTTACAAGTTTCTAGACGTTAAGGGTAAAAGATATTAATTTTTTAGCAGAAAAAAATAATAAACATTTACGACTTTTGACTTCATTTTTATTTTCTTATTTTTTTTCATCAAAATTTTTTATAATACTGATACTTTAACCTATCAACATATTCCCTCTTATATCTACATGAAGGATATTATCATTGTCTTTACCTAACCAAATACTTTGTTTACAGGTATTTATTTAATTAAATATGTCCCCCACTACAAATATTCTCACCTCTGTTGGAGCATTTAAAGTTGGATCTCCTTCCATCGTAGTGCTTACTTCACATTTGGATTTATTTTCCACAAAGGCAGAAAAATCTAGCCCACTTGCTATTAATTCATCATATGTTCCAATCTTCTTTACATGCCCCTAAAATGAACAATTGAAAATATATTCTAAAAATAAAAAATATGCTAATGTATATTCCATTATCAATCCTAAACCAGAGCTTCTGGGTAGCAGAATAAAAAAATACTTTGCTTAGAGTGTAGGCCTTATGAATTGATTGTAGGTAAATGCATAAGAACATAAACAAAGCTAAAAACTATGCTGAGTGCTTAAAACCAAACAATAGAAGTGCAAACATCTATGAGTCGGGATCAATAATATGTAATTTAATTTTTTTTTTGTTCTATGTTCACAAAGTAATAACATTTACAATATATACAATTATAAAATATTTTTTGTTTAAGATTTTAATGACCATTGTTGAAACACTATCAAGTGCAACAGAAAATAGAATAGAAACACCTAATTTTTACAATAAAACAAATATCTAAATTTACTTCTGCAAATTGGTTGATGAATTTATTTACTGAATGGTACAGGCTGAATGGTATTTAAATTTTGGTATATTTTAATCCATATGTTCAATAAAGCTCGCTATCATTTGGTTTCCGACACTATCTTTTTCTCTTTTTGCCTCTCTAATACGGCATCGCATTAAGATACAATTTTCAATAATAGCTCATTGCAAAGAGGATGAAATATTGAATATTTCCCTTGCTTACAGTATGCAGGTCCGATTTTTAGTTTCTGAGATATTTTAATCGAATACGCAAAAACACTTCAATTAGTCGACTTGCGCCGACTTTAATGAAATGAGCAATATTAATGAATAGCAGAATTTAAATAATGTTTATATGAATTCTAGTTATAACACTTTTATTTAACACCATACACACTCATTTACTTGAATTGGAAAAGTAAGAACTAAATGCTACAACTTACTTTTTCCAGAATAACTATCTGTTTGGCACTGTTAAGGAATTGAAGTTGATGAGTGGCCAACAGAACTACTTTGTCTTTGAGTATTCCTATAAAAAGATTAATGTATGTTATGAATGTTAAACTGATAAAAATTAAATGAACTAAAAAATTTTACAATATACCCATAATGCATTCATTAAAAAGGTGTTTCTGAACATTTACATCAACAGCAGATAAAGGGTCATCTAGTAAATATATATCAGCATTCCTATAGACTGCTCTGAAAAATCAAAGATTAAATTTTTGATAAATATAAAGAATAAGGTGTTACTTGGTCAAAGAAAAAGTAAATAATAAAAATTAACTTATAAGTCTTAATAGCATAAAATACAATTCTATATCTATACCCTGGAGGTAAAGAACATCATTTCACATTTTTGTATTTGTTGAGGGGAGCAAATTTTCCATAACTTTAAAAAGTATTAAAATTTGTTTCTTAGTTACTAAATCTGTACCCCAAAGGTAAAGGACACTATGTCGTGTTTTTGTATTTGTTCGGGAGAGCCAATTTTCCCTAACTTTGAGCTATTAAAGTTTGTTTCTTAGTTACTAAATTATTTAATAAAAAATAATGGATAAGGTGTCCATACCGCCAGAGCACAGGTATAATATGACAGTTACAGTTCCAAATCCTAAAGGATAATGGGCAAAGGAAACATGAAAAAGATTGACAATTTTAATGTACCATGGATTGCCACTAGAAACAAAAAATTTAATGCACAATAATGTAATAATAAAATCAGTAATAACCCTAACTCCATGGTTTGCAACTGTAAATAACCTGCTAAAAGTTAATTGTTAAATAATTTGTTTTTTGGCAGGAATAGCGAATAGCCTTCCGCTTTTATATCGGGGAACTAGGTTCTTTATACTCGAGATAATTAAAACAAAACCCCGGCACTGGATATAGACTTTTTGAGGGTGTTTAACTGTTGTTGGGAATTTGGGAATCTAAAACCTTTTGTGACACTGAGTGAGAAGAAACAATAAGAATATATATTTGAAATGTGGGACTACATACACTACTAAATACACTTTGAATGAATTGATTCACCTGGTTTGTTATTCTTCAATCGTGAGGCATATAGGACAACTAAATAAATAAATGACTTTTCACTCCTGTATAACAAAATGATTTATTTCTACAACTGTAATAAATTGACTCTATTAAAGTGTTATAACTATAGACTTGATCTTCTAAATCTTGTAGTAGACTCTCTTCCCAGGTATGTGTTCCACCTCAATGTCCAGCCTCAAGTGCCTGGCGTCATCTTCCAGCTGCTGCTACCTGACCGGACCTTTTTCCTTCTTTATCGATATGAGGTTTCCCAATGAACAATTTGTCCACTGCACAATTGAGTAAAATTCACAGTGCAACCCCACATTCCTATATATTATATATTCCTTCTCATTACCTCACCCATTGTCACATAAAGGAGTAAATACCGGGGGATGTCTACTACACAACACTTGAACAAAGGCGACCAGATTTAGACTGACTGGCCACCGAAAGTGGAGTTGAGCTGAGCTGACCGTAGCTGAGTCAGCTTCTAAAACCGAATTAAAGGTTTTTAATGAAAGGGTGGCCACCAGATGTGGAGCGCTGCTGGTCACAGTTGAGCAGTTTCCCAAGGGTCAGCTCCGCTCAGCTTTGACTTGATCGAGGTTCGGTTTTGAAGCTACGCTCAGCTTCCCTCACCACAGCTACTCACGACTGCCTCACAAGCGTGTGATTTTTTTCCTCAGGCCATCATTTTTTTCCGCTTGTTCTTACGGCACAACCTCTCAAATTATCTTATTATCTTGCTGACTGAGCTGGGGTCCACTATGCAATCGGTTGACAACCTCCTCTGACTCCACTCCGCACTGCTCAGTTCAGCTCCGCTTTCGGTGGCCAGTCAGACTTAAGATAAATCATGCAAGAACAAATAAATTTCTATGGGTTAATGAACAGCACGCCAATGCCTGGAGGATCCAAGACACGTTGCCTTTGAGAGTGAAAGATTCAAGAAACAAAGAACAAGTTTAGTATTACAAGCTATAAATGATAGTGTTAACTTTGTATGATCAATAAATAAAGATAATGCCCATTATCTTATAGAGATCATGCAGATTATGACAATTTTTAAAAGGAATGAAAGTCCCTTATATAAGCCTCTTATTTTCATTCAAGTTTAATAAAACTATTAAATTAATTAAGTTTTAAAGTATTAAGTTATTTAAATTCAAGTTTAATATGACTATTAAGTCACACTCAGAACATTGTTTAGCATTTCGGATCCAAATTTAATTCATTTTGCACTGACAATTTCAATAGAATCTAGGCAAAATAAGATGGGCATTGGCAAGACTTAAGGCCAAAAAGAAAATAGTAATACAAAAAATAAATAAAATCAGTATTACAGATTTAGCTAATCTGTTAAATTATTTTTTTAACTAATATCTAAATGATTTAAACCTTGCCAAATTTATTCTCGCTTTTTGTCCACCGCTCAATGTAACACCTCTTTCTCCAACAAGGGTTTCTTCTCTGTTAGCAAAACTTTCAATATCCTTCTCTAAAGCACACACCTTTATGACTCTCTTGAATCTATCTTCAGAATATATTTGGCCAAATAGTATGTTCTGTTTAACAGACGCTGCAAAAAGCCATGGCTCCTGAGATGCGTAAGATATCCTCCCATTTACATCAATAGAGCCAGATGTTAGTGATATTTCCTTCAAAATTGCATGAAAGAGAGAAGTCTGAAAAATATGTTTGCGAAGATTAGTGAATTAGCAATAGCGCAACAGAAATAATTAATTTGATAGATTCCATATTTTATATTTATTAATTGAGCTTTGATTCAATTGATTATTGTTTACAAACTTATTACTATAATATATACCTTACATAGATTGGGAATAATAATAAAAACAAAATTCAAAATAGGGTAGTTCAGAAATGTAATTGAACATACAAGTTAACGATAATGATCAAATTTCGGGAACATTTTTATTATTATAACAAGATAATTTTATCAGTTCTACACACATACAATCAGTTTTATCCATTAGTAAAATTTAAAGTTAGATATATTTACTCATTTGATTAGCTATGTTTAGAATATGGAGACATAATCCCGAAATTTTTTAAAAGTAAATAATTAACATATTATGTAAGATCTTATTTACTCAATTCATTAATGTTAGCCAGCTTTAGGGTGGAACAACTGGAGTGATCGCTGCGGGGCACCGACCTAGAGGAGTACCTATTGAGGGCGCCAATCATCAGAGGAACTCACCAAACGTTAAGAATTAAAAGATATATACATATTTTTAAAAATTTTCTTCAATCGACCTTTGATTGCTATATTTTAACATAATTATATAATTGGGAATAAGGTCACTTATTAATTATTTCAATAAACTACTGAATGTTCATTGCTTCTGTGTTTATTCGACATTTCGATCCCGGTTTTTTATAAGTTAACAATGGGATCCTCTCCAAAGTTTTAAAATAGAGCCTCAATGCCTCAGGCCAGGGACACACCGACAGTCTCAGCACCGTCCACCAGCACATATATTAAGCTACTGTTAACTTATAAAAAACCGGGATTGAAATGTTGAATAAACACAGAAGCAATGAACATTTAGTAGTTTACTGAAATAATTAATAAGTGACCTTATTCCCAATTAAATAATTATGTTTATATATATATATATATATATATATATATATATATATATATATATATATATAATAATGTTCTCATTCCCTTCAAAAGTAAACAAACAGTTTCTTATTCAATATATTTATTTCTCACACAATAATTAGTCCTCAGGTTGGGTTCAGACAACTAACACACATCCTCATTATACAATAAAAAGGCATACATAATTTTATTACACTTATTAGTAAATTTCCATTCTATTTGTCGAGGTCTATTCTTGGCGTGTGTTCAATCTGTCCATTTATCACTCACCCTGTGATGCAGCTACTTCTCTTCTGTACTGGTGCATTCACTTCCACAAACTTCTACTGTTGACACTCACTACTTGGGGACCAACATCTCACAGATCCTGGTTCCTAGCCGGCTGGCTACCTTCTGCCTACCTATGTCCTCTTCACTCGCTGGCCGGTCACCTTCTGTCTACATATGGAGCTTGCTTCCCCCACCATCTGTACTTCCTGTCACTAGTTTGTGATGTTACCACCTACGCGCCAATATTCAAAAACACTATGTAATGTTGACATTACAATATATATATACACATACACAAAATGTTTTAAAATAATTAATTTTAACCTATTTATAAAGCAATTGTATTAGAGAAATATTGAATAAAATAAAATTTGAATATTACATAAGATAAAAATGCTTGAGAAATAAATTTAATTTTTTTAAAAGGGGAGATGATGTCATTGCCTGGGGGAGAAGTGGTGAGGGCGCCAAATGTCTAAGGCTGCTACTGATTTTATTTTTATTAGCGGAGAATTCTCAAGAGATTTAGAAAGAATTGTATAAGATTATTTTAATTTTTAATACAATAAGTTCTAATTAAAGATTTTTTTTCATCTATGTAGGTGAAAAAAAAAATAGTAAATGACAACAATTTTATATCAAACTTTAGATTTTTCCAATAAATTAAAATTATATTTGCAGCTCACCTTTCCTGAACCAACAGGTCCTATAATGATTGTAAGTTCTCCAGGCTTGGCGTCAAATGTTACATTATTAAGAATATTTGGCATGTCTTGATTCCAGTTGATAGAAACATTTATCAAACGAATTCCTTTAATTGACTCTGATTGTCTATTTTCTTGTAAAGAGTCTACCATTTCTAAATTATTCCCTTGCAATAAGAATTTCTAAAATATAAATAATTAGTTAGGAAAAATTAAAAACAAAACAGAAAACAGCAACAATGGGTAAGTGACACTTCATAACTGCAAAGATTCAGTTTAGTTTTCTTATTATCAATTTTATAATTTATAGTTATATGAATACTTATTTGTTTTAACAAATGAATACTACATATTTATTTTGATAAAAATGCGAGTTTGAGAAAATTAATAAAAGGTAGTTTGCTAATGCAGTAGAATAAATGTTTTTGCAATTTGAACAAGCTGAGATAAGCTAATTATTGATATTTTTTTTAGATTTCTCTAATTTATATGTTATCACAATTTAAACAGCCTGATCTATATTTTATTTTGTTTAACAAAAAAATTAACTTAGTAGAAAAAGGTCTTTTCAATCTCGATAACACTAAGTGTGCATGTGGGTGCACTGCTAAAAAGCTAATGAAAATTTTGAATTACATGTAAAATTTGGTTAACCCTGAAGATAACTGAAGAGGCAAAAAATTTGGATAACTTTGAAATAAAGTTATTATTTATCGAGACTGAAGAGGTCTTTTTCTACTAATACGTACTATAGTCTCTTTCCCAATGAAAAAAAATTAACTCTATCTTTCATATTTGAAGTGTTGTTAAGTTCTTTATGATTGTAATGATCAAATTTTAAGTTCTGATGGTCCTATAATTTAAAGTTCTGATGCTCTTATAATTTAAAGTTTTCTGTTTATATTTTCAGTCAGTTCAAGGACATAATTCATAATGAAGAACGTTTTTTATTGTTGTTCCGAGTTTTATTTAGTATAACTTCCAGTATTATCACCATTTTCAGTAATAGTTGCATCCTTAAACTAAAAATATTCTGTGATATATTTTTAGTCTTACAATAGTCTTTATTTTTACTTTAGATGTTTGCATTTTTTATTATTTGTAATTCTTATTAATATTTATGAAATAAGACCTATATTTGAGCATTATTTAAAATGAATACTTTTCAAATTCTATTTTAAAAAAATGGAAAAACTAAAAATCTACTAATATTTTAATTTATGTTATTCTGATAAATAATTGTAAAAAAAATACCTCAATTCTTTTCACAGAAGTATAACACTCGGAAACTTGTGAGAAAGAAAAATTAAAATATTCAGTTACTGTGAGATGCAGTACATTAAAAAACGAAGTAATAACAAACACCTAGAACATAAATAACAATTTTTATTAATTTTACTGAACCTTATAGTAAAACATAATTAGCAATTATATTAATACGGATTAATATTAATATAAGGATTAAACTCAGAAATCTCTCAAAATCGATTTTCAATTGAATAAAAAATTTGTTTCACCACATTGAATCTTTTGAATTTCTGAAATTCAAACACTATTTTCAATGGCCCGAAAATATTGACCGTTTCTTTTCCTAAACCATTTTTTCACATTATACTAGGCTAACGAACTACATTAAGTAAGGCCTAATTATTAGGAAAACTACAAACACACTAATCTTTTGTTTGAAACAATAAATTTAACGTATTATTCAAGTCAAAATATATACAATCCTGTTCCTCAGAGATAAATTACCACCATACATTTTTTCTTTCTATTTTAAGGCTAGTAATATAGACATATTTTTTGTTTTCATTGTCAATTCATCTACTATCCATCAATAACTATTGTATTTTGATTATTATATCACATATTCCTCAGAACAATATTAAATACACCTCAACTGATGCAATTCATGGCATTAACAAAAAAATTTAAGTAAAAAATAATATATTTTCACAATAAAAAATGACCCCAATATTTAAATATCAAATAAATAATTAAGCTTATTTAATATAACCACATAAATAATAACAATTAAAACTTCAATAGCAATAATTATCCTTACTTTACTTGCTGTTATATCATTTCCTAAGAGAATATGTGTAAGAATCGTAAGAAAAACTGCAATACGAGTCTGGAACATTGCCAGCGAATACAATATACCTTTGAGATAAGAGAGCTTTCTAATAACTTTAATTTCTTTCCTATAGCAAAAATAAAAACATATAACAGTAAACATAAATTATAATTACAATCTTATATGTACAACTTAACAAACAACTTTATATATCACCTTCTGATAAGTGAAACAAGCTTTTCAAAGGGCTTTTCCCAAACATATAATTTGATTATTTGAATTCCGACTATTATTTCATTCATTAAGCATATTCGATCATCTGTTTTCAATGCAGTTCGCAATCTCATTCGAGAAGTAATTTTTCCAAGCCATGCTGCAAAATTGTTCGAACAAATGACAGATTTATAAATAATATTTTATTTTTTAAATTAATGATATATACTCACCTACTAGAGGTATAGAACATATTATGACAGTTACGCCCACAATGGAAGCCTCTCCAGTATAATACCAGAGAAAAATCGAGATGATAATAGTCTGAAAAGGGCCAATCCAAACATCATGAATAAACGTAACAACATAATCAAAACGAGCTGCATCATTTGCAAGAAGATTAACAATGTAACCAGTTGATATTTCATTCAGTTCTGCCTTACTCAAACTTAAAACCTAAAATTAAAAAAAAAATTATAATTAATGAAGAGAAGAATAGTTGGGGTGCTCAGTCAAAAAAGGAAGGCAAAAATAAATTATAATATTTATTTTTTACATCTGCCGACGTTTCGACCTGAAGTTCAGGCCATCATCAGGGCTTTCTCCTAAAGTGTCAAAGTGAGAATTATAATTGTTTAAGTACCATAAAATTATAATTATAATTATAAAAATTATAATTGTTTAAGTACCATTTATTAACTGTACATATTTGTTTTATTGGAAAACCATGATTAAATCAATCATAGTTAAGAATGAATGAAATGAAATAAAATGAATCATAGTCAAATTAATTTGATCTGTTTTCAAAAAATATATTAAATTTAAATAATTTTTAAATACATAAAATTCTTAAAAATGAAACTAGCTAAGAAAAAATTGAATAATCTTGACCCACGGCTGGGTAAAAATTCAGTTTGAATAAACAATAAATACTACTGAGGGATAGAATAAATTTCATTTGAGGATAATAAATCATTTTTTTTTAATTATTAGTGCAAAGGTCACCAATAACAAATTTTGCCACTTTATTTATTTATTATTCAACGTTTCGGCTTCTTGAGCCATTTTCAAGATTTTGCAAAATATTTTTAATTTAGTTATTTTTCTTTGAAATATATCATTATAAACTTATAATAAATTTTAAATAGCCTGTTACATATGCGAGCCTGTTCTATAGTTCTTATTATATCCCTTTATTTATTTTATTTTAGAATTTTTTTTTATTATATGGCAATACAATAAAGCTATATACTAAGGACTATATATGTAACAGACTGTTTATAATTTATTATAAGTTTATAACGATATATTTTAAAGAGAAATAATTAAATTAAAAATCTGTTGCAGAATCTTGAAAATGGCTCGAGAGGCTGAAACATTGAATAATAAATAAATAAAGTGAAAATATTTGTTAATGGTGACCTTGGCCTAATACTTTTAAAAATACATAAAAAAATGGCACTGAACCTAAAAGATATGACAAGAAAAATAATTATTTTATTTCTTTAGTTTCAACATAATAGTTATCTTTCGGGTTGAAGCACCCCCCCAAAATGGTAAAATATAGCCATGTTTTATCAAAAAAAATATTTAAAAAAATATCTCTTAAAGTATTATTGTTTGTGTAATTACATTTACAAGGGCTTTAGGAATCACTTAAACACCATTTCATACAGATAGTTAGTTTCTTTCTTTTTTTCCAAAGTAATTATCGTTATTTTTATGAAAAAAACAGCTTTCGGGCTGAAGCTCCCCCAAATTAAATCCTGGATCTGCTAGTGCATCTGTGTGGTCAATCAAGAAAAGAATAATCATGAGTGATATAACAAAAATGGTATTGAATTCCATTCGAATTATTAATTGGTTCATGAAAATATTTTTGTTGAAAGTTTAGAAACCCCTAAGAAATTTTAATTTAAAAAAATATGTCTATCAATTTTTTTTTCAAGGAAATAATTATCCTTACCATTTCAACATGCATTCAATTGAACAATATGAAGTGACATATTGGCTCTTTATCATATTACCAAAATATCTTTGTAAATTTTCTTTGTATTCTTTATCTTAACTTCATCGCCTAAAACTATGAACTATGAAAAGGGAAACTGTTAACTGGAGTAGTTAATCATATAAACAGATATTAATGCATATTTATATTGTTATTTGTTTTATACCTCTGGAATATTTTTAAAAATGTATTATTGAAAAAAAAATTGTTTTACTAATTATATATATATCGTTTACTAATCTGTTATTATATTGGTCATACTTAATGTTGTGGATGTTGTTAATGTTATGTTTGAACACAGTACTAGACTCAAGCTCTAACATTGTTAATAATATGAGAAGGAGTTAGTCGAGGGTGAAGTCAAATAAATTTATTTATTTGACCGCACCCTCGACTAACTCCTTCTCATATTATATCAACGGTCAACCATCTCTACATCATTGTTAATAATACTTTTATATTTATTTGTACATGAATTTCCTTAGACAAATAAAATAAAATAATCTATTCTATATTTATATATAGTATATACTTTTTATAATTATGTTTCTTGCAGACTGAACACAACTACTTTACAAGTAAATTCCCCTCTCTGAATAAGAGTAGGGAATAAACCAATATTGAAATAGAGACTAATTTTGATGAAAATTTGTGTAAGAGTATTTAATCATATTTAAGAGATTAATATACCTTCCTGTATATCAAACTGCTGACAGCAACCCTGAGCTTCATCCCGATATGAAAAACTTCCAAATAACAAAAGTTAATTAAAAACACCATTAAAAATGGTGCCAAGATCAGTCCTGTTGCACTCAATTTAAACATTTGTTCAGAAACATTGGAATTTGATTCAAAATAATTTATAAATGGTATAAGAAAAAGAGGAGTTCCTAACCTGTAAAATGAATTCATAGAAATTATTTTAAAACATTTATACACTTGAATATATTTACCTGAACAAAATGTACATAAAATATTATTTTTTTATAAAATATACTTATAATCACCTTAAAATAAACTCGATTAAAGATAGTAAAAGTCCATATGAAATAAAACTTTTCAAGCATGACAAAATTAAAGCTCTTAGTAGTGATGGTTTTCTGTTGTGCTTATTAGATGAAAGTAATTCGTTTTTCCATAATCTGAAGGAAAAAAAAAATCAAATCCTTTTATATTAAAATTTATTTAGCAATAAGAGTGAGAAGTACAAACTTTTCTAATTGATCACCAAGTAACGCTGATGAATCTTCTTTAAGAGGACCATAGAAATCTTCCAATTTTTTTATTGAATACTTGCATTTCTTTAAAACAGGAATGATCCATCTAAGCAAAGAAAGACATATTAATATATGCTCTATACAATAATAATAATAAAAGATTTTTTCACCAATTACACCAAAATGAAATAGGTAAAACATTGTCTACTAGTTGGTTGGTTAAAGGAAATTTGTTTCCCGAGACAGAGAGCTTTCTAATAGCAACCCAAGATCAGGTCTTACTTGCGACATGTCTTGAAGGAACAGACAGAATCAGACATGTATAGGCTCTGTGCCAGTACGTTCGAGTCTATTCAGCACATAACTGGAGGGTGCGGAGTGCTGGCTGATACAGAGACATGACAATGTTGCAATAATTTATCATCAGGCAATTGGTCTAAAAAGAAAGTTAGTAAATGATTTGATTCTTTATTATAAGTACAACCCTAAAGAACTTATCCAGAAGGAAGGAATGAAATTGTACTGGAATCAATATTTTATAACAGACCACACAGTGATCCATAACAGACCTGATATCGTGTTGATCGATAGTAATATAAATACAGCTGAGATAATAGATATTGCTCTTAACAATAGATATTATTAATAGATATGAAATCCACTGTAGAAGCTACAGAGAAGTTGGGCCTCTCAAGAGCCACAATAAACGAAACCCAGAAAGCTGTGCTGCTGAACACTGCGAAAATCGTAAGGAGCTTCCTAAATATCCAACAGAACTACAAAAATTGAAGTGAAGTGGTTGAAGTTATTTCTTTCCCACTCCAGGAAAATACCTTTTTTTTAAAGAGATAAAGAATAAAGAATAATAATAAAAGGCTTAGCTGGTTTAACAGTGCAATAACCTGCAGAGGAATGTTTCATTAAGAAAAGGTGATGCAATAATTTTTAGCAATAAGTTCATAGTAAAACATTATTATATTTTTTACATTTAGGCAAATGTACTCCCATCATCAGAACATATTCACTACTGTTAGGCCCTTCTCTAAAGTTTAAGAAGTAATTATCGATTTATACATTTTTTACTATATTATTAATTTATAATTAATTAATAATAATAAATTAATTACATATAATTAATTTACCTTTTCTAGTTGTCTCCTCTTATTTTATAAAATTCATTTATTAGTTTTCTCTAGTTAAATATAATCAGGAGCAGCAATAGGTTATATATGAGACAAAAATTTGAGAACATTTTATCTTCCCTTTTTATTCTTGTCTACCTCCCTTTTATAAACTATTTGCCTGCTAATGAGATTAGGTTTCTAATATTTTAATTTAGTTTATTATGTGCGCATAATAACTCAGTTTTTTGTATCTGTTCTGTAATTTAATGTTATTTTTGGTGGCTTCCATGGCTTCCAGTAATTTTCTGTTATTATTTTTTTATCCAATTTCTATCATTTATGAATTGTTAAAGTTGAAATTATGTTGCATTTATACGCTATATTGTGCTAGTGTTAGGCATTTTATGTGTTTTTTCAATTAGAAATGTGTTGTTTTCAGTTTTTTTAAAGTTTCAGCTAAAATTGTCAAAAAATACACTTGGAGAAGAAAAGAGTATTTTTTATAGATAAGTATTTTTTTTTTCTCATCTAATAAAGTATTGCTGAAGTCCATTTTTATTAAATATTGCACTTCTTTACAATACATATAACGACTACTGCCATTGTACCGTTGTAGATTGCCTGAGATTAGTTTCAGTGACCGTTGTTTTTATATAATGACGATCAACTACAATGGTGGAATTTTCTTGATTCCCTCAAGGTCGTAAATAAACAATACCTAGTGTATTTTTTAAATCCTAGAAAAGGATCTAAAAATAAGGACTATGCTTCTGTTGATGGGAAAACACTTTCCGAAATATAAAACAAATGTAAAGGAATGTGATAAATAAAAATACAAAATAGTTGCAAGGAAGTTGTAATTGCCAAATTCACCTGTAAAACTTCAATGTAAAACTACACAATAAAAGAAAAAACAAAAATAAATTAAAAATAAAATTATAAAAAAAAATTTAAGTCATGATAAAATTAAAAAACTGTAAACCAATATTTTGTTTTTAAACATCTTTAAATAGTCAGTGTATATTAAAATAAGTAAAAAATATAATTATATTTTTTAATATTAATGCTAACTACAAAAATAACTTTTTTTTGAGAGGATTTCAAAAAAAACTTTGAAAAATTGACATATATGACAGATAATTAAACCCAATTACTCACAAAAAAGTTAAAATAGAAATAAATGTTGCTTCTTCTCGAGGATTTTTAAAATTTTCTTTTTTCCTTTTTGAATCCATTCCTGTGAAAAAAAAAAATGGATTGTATGACTTAAATACTAACATAAATTTGATTTGAATAATGTGTCTTGTTGAAATAATAAGCCATTTAATAGTCATCACCAAGGCTCGGATTTTTATGCAATGGCATATTTTGTTTGCATTATTTTTTTTAACTGTTGATCAAATATCTATACGAATTAGTATGCTGTGATGCAATAAGCCAAATTTTATTTCGCATATTTGTGGATAAATGAATATAATTTCATATTTGATGATAAATGCATATAATTGCATATTTTGATTAATTTAATTAAATAAACAATATATATATATATATATATTTACAAAATTCCTTCAATCGACCTTTGAGTATTATATTTTAACATAATTATTTAATTATGAATAAGGTCACTTAATAATTATTCAATAAACTGTGTTATATTTAATAATTATTAATAAAATCGCTGTTATATTTATCATGGATGCATTTTTTAATTGCTTTATATAACATAGATACAATTTTCATTGTTTTGTATGTATTATTTTGCCTTCGGGCTCAGGACCTTGGTGGGCAGAAGCTTAACGGTCCAGTGGCTTAATATCTGAGCTGATGGACAGTGCTGAGTCTGTCGGTGTGTCCCTGGCCTGAGGTATAGAGGCTCTATTTTAAATGTAGGTTAAATTTTTAAATAATTGTTATTTGAGACATATGGAAGCGTAATTGTATACCAATTGAGCTATTTGTTGTTCTAGCTTTGAAGAGGATCCCATTGGTAACTTATATAAAAACCGGAATCGAAACGTCGAATAAACACAGAAGCAAGCAGTTTATTGAATAATTATTAAGTGACCTTATTCCCAATTAAATAATTATGTTAATATATATATATATATATATATATATATATATATATATATATATATATATATATATATATATATATAATATCTTTAGTTTAGATATTAAAAAAACAAAAAAAAAATTGAAATTATTGTAATTTTGAAGCCCTTCATAATTTATTTTCGATTCAAAACTTTTTATAGGCATGTCATTATATTTAAATACGTTATTGCCTCATTATTAATCAAGTAATTAGTAAGTGTAGTATATATAAAGACCAGTTACTGCATTTTTCATGTATTTTTACTGCATATTTCAGGATTTTTACTGCATATTATATAGCATATTCTGTGGTTTTTAATGCATAAAAACCCGAGCTTTGGTCATCACTGATAATTTAGAAAAATATAATGCTTGAGCAAAACTTAAGTCTTTTTACCATTTTTTCTTCTTTTTTTTTAAACAAGGTATGTTTAAATGTGATGAGAATTTGCAAATGTTATTTTGGGTGTAATATTTGAGTTTAGATAATTGTTCTGGATTATAAAAATAATAACATTTATAAATATTTCATTTGATAATCTAATTAAAAGAAAATCAGAAATAAAATAGTAAATAGTTCCTATATAAACAACTAATATGGTTATTAGGTACTAGTAATATGGTTATTACTCTAATAAAATAGAGTATAGATGCCTTAAAATATATAATTAATATATTTTTAAAAATTTCATACCGGCACTTCCATAAAATTTGGATGTGGTGAAACCATGAAACCAGGCTTTGGAAGTTTTGGGAATTAAATATTCTTTTTCATCCCTAAAAAAAAAAATTATAATTTTATAAAAGTGATTAAATATCTACATATTTAAGAAAGAGTATTTTTAAAAATTCCAAATATGGTGAAATTTTGCATATTTCATTTTCAAAAGAAGAGGAAGTCATTGGATACATTACATTTTGTAAAACCCACCACAATTTCCTTTTCCACCTCTTATTACGAAATTTTTTATACTTTTTTAAAGTGTCTTTCTATTTCCAATGAACAAAATAAAAATAAATAAAGAACCTCTTTAGCTATAATTGCTTGGTGTGCTACTTAATTACTTAGAAAAATAAAAAAATATAATAGTAATTTAAAAGAACTGATAAAATCATTATATAATTTATGAAATAATACATTGCACAACTATTCTTAATTCTTCTAATTTCAATTTCTAGGTTTTCCATATTCAAAAGATGGAATAATTAAGATATAATTAATAGAAGTGAAAAATTTCATTTAAATAAAACAAGTTGCAGACATAAAAATTAATAATAATCAATATCTAAAGTTAAAATACAGAAAGAAGGGAACTAAATGAAATATGAGCAATCAAGAGAAGTTCTATCGACTTTTTAAGTTCTAACTTACATGAACATAATAAAATCATTATTACAGAAGTAATCAATAAAACAGGAAATGCTGAGGTTTTTTATTATACATTACATTTTTGAAAATAATACTTAAAATACGTTTTTTACAGTATTTGCTCAGTTAAAATAACACCGTCAATAATTATATCAATAAATATTAAGTAGGAAAATTGATAGCATAATTTTTATTCAATACTATTGATAGTTAATAATGAAATAAATCTTCATGCAATGGGTATAGCTCACCAACACATAAATAAAAATAAATAAAAGATAGGCGTTGATTACCTGAGGATTTTACACCTTTAAGTAGAAACAAACAATAAATGAAAGGAATTTAAAATAAAATAACTTGAACTAACTGAAAAAACTTCAAACTGTACTCCTAAGTATTGCCAAACTAAGAATAGAAAATATGTAGATAATTTGAGCTTTGTAAAAAGAATATTTAAAAATTTAATGTAGGAATTAAAATAAATAAACATTGGCTAACATTATAATAATTAATAATAAAACAAATTTAAAAAAATATTTTTCCTTTCTCAAAGTGAAATGTTGCGTCAACATTGAGAGGTGGTTTATAACCTCCCAAATTGAATCAACTTGTTTGTATATAGGTTGTGTTTGTTTGTAAATAGGGTTGTACATTTCATTATATTTTAATTTGGAAATAAAGTTTAAATACTTATTAACATGTTATGAATGATTCGGTTATTTTACAATTTAACTAGGTCGAGAAAGACAATAAATTCTTATCAACTTGGATTATACTTTCATTTGTGTTTTACTTTATCATTAAATTAAAACTCTGGTGGCCAAATTTATTTATCGTTTATAGAGTAATGTTATAGATTTTAACGTTTCATGTCATCTAGATAGAATTAGCAAAATGTAAAAATAAAAGGTAAGCAGTGTACAGAATTGTTTTTTTCTTGATTTTATCTTACTCATTTTATTATTTACAATAACAAGTCATTCTCGTGTGTATCTGATAAATTTAAAGTATTTTTTTTTGTAAATAGTTTTTTAAAAACGTATTTTCGCAATGTCCAACACGCTGTAATCACTACTTCAAAAGCAAGGCCACAATACTCTCCACTCTTCGTCTTATCTTTGCAAAATTGTCTAAAGTAAATTTTTAAATTTATACTACTCGGTTTTTATGTTGAATAACTATGATATTCACGTAACATATTTCATGGTTTTAAATTTTAAAAAAGTTTAGAAATTAAATTTAAAAAATAAATATATTCACGTAAAGTGTTCCTAACACTTTTTTTTTTTTTCAAAATAGTGTTTCAAATAAATGAATTTTAAAATAAAACTTATTAATTTGTATGACTATCTACAGTGCTTTGACTAAAATGAAAAATATTTTTCGTAGATACTCCCAACATTTTGCTTGATGTGAAATCAAATGAAATTTTTGTAAATTAATTTTTTTATTTATTTTAAAAAGTATATCAATATTAGTTTAATGAAATCACAGATGTAAGCGATAAGGACAATGCAGGTTAATCGTGGTATAATCGTTTAAATTGATAAAACTAATATCATAAAACCGTCCAATGATATGTTCAGATTGCGGAGTAACATTTAAAGGAATAGTTTTTAGCTTGATCAAAGTAGTGCAAGAATAAATTTCATTAGTTTTGTTATTTAAAATAGTATTGTTATTTAATACAGTGAACCCGCTAAACCACGACCTACCTTAACTGAAACTGATCTTCCGGAATTTTTTTTTCCTTTAGGTACTGATATATTTATACTTATTTACATTAATGACAAGTTTTATTTTACAATTAAATAAAACAAAATTATTGTTAACAATGTTTCATTATTTTAATTACTTATTTAAGTTTCATTTATAAAAAAAAATAGCATGTAACGATTTTTTTTTAGTTTTAAATAATTATGTAAATTGAGTAATATCTTACTTTTTTTTAAACATACTTCTTCATATTTAATAATAATTATCTGAAATTCTATGTTGATAGTTGGATTAGTTAACGAACACTTAAATAATGTAATAACAGTTATTGTGAATATTGGGGTTATTTTTTGAGGAACCCCTCCCTACATTTTGTTTGGTTTCTAATTCTTATTTTAACAAAGAATTGTGTTACTTTGTTTTTGGTTGTTAACATCTAATTTTTTTCGCACGTTTTTTTTTTTTTTTAATTTATTGTAATTGACAGTGTGTTTTGAGATGGTTTTGTGTTGCACATAAAAGTGTAAAGTGGCGATATGTCTGTTAAAAGAAAACGAGTAGTAATCTCCATTGAACAAAAAATTGAAGCAATTTACAGATTAGAAAATGGAGAGCTTTTGAAAAGAATAGCAGAAGATTTAAATGTCGGAACCTCTACTGTTTCCGATTGGAAAAAAAATAAGGACGATTTAATAAAATTCGCCACGAAAACTGCCAGCAGTACGGTACAACGTAAAACGATGAAGAAGTTTGAAAATGAAGAACTAAATGAAGCTCTTTTTTTATGGTTCATGCAGGAGCGAGAAAAGGGTATACATCTAACAGGCCCGTTGATCCAAGAAAAAGCCAGAGCTCTTGCATCACAGTTCGGGGAAACTTCGAAGCCTTTTCTTGCGAGTTCAGGCTGGTTGGATAGGTGGAAGTCTCGCTACGGAATCAAACAGTTAAGCGCTTACGGAGAAAAATTTCTACCCGATGAAAGATCTGTAAATATTTTCATAAATGGTATAAAGTCACTTTTAAAAGAATACACAAGAGATCAAGTCTTCAACGCTGACGAATCCGGCTTAAACTTCGCTCCTGGATACAAAAATATTAAAGAAAGAATAACGATTCTTGCTTGTGCCAATGCCTCCGGAAATCATCGATTCCCGATAATGGTCGTCGGTAAATCCAAGAAACCGAGAGCTTTCAAAAATATTTCCCAAAATGCTCTACCTGTCATCTACAAAGATCAACGAAATGCGTGGATATCAGGAGATCTATTTAAAGAATGGTTCGATGAACAGTTCGCACCAAGTGTGGCGGAATTTCTCGAATCGAAAAATCTACCAAGAAGAGCCCTCTTGATTTATGCTCCTTCTCACCCAGACGTCTCTGAATTAAGAAATGGCGACATAGTAGCCCACTTTTTACCACCGAACGTCGCGAGTCTCTTACAACCTAAGGACGGAGGCGTCATGGGATGTTTGAAACGTAAATATAGAAAATTATTATTGCAGTCCTTACTCAACGACTCTAAAGAGTCCTCCTCTTTAGAAGAAGTTTTGAAAAGAATAAATTTAAAAGATGTCATTTACTGCCTGGCAGAAGCATGGAACAACGTCAAGGAATCTACATTGGAAAATTCATGGAGCCAACTTCTTGAAGAAACCCTATCTGAAATCTCTTCAGACAATAACTGCGATGAGATCTCTTCTGAGGAAATGAGTTCTTTGATCAAAAAGCTACCTGGATGTGAAAACAAACACGATTCGGAGGTGGCAGAATGGCTCAATAGTGACGATGCGCACTATGAACTCACTGACCAAGAAATCGTGGAAGTTGTGTTAGAAAGCACTGATGAAGATGAGGATAGTCTAGAAATTATTGAGGATGACGGAAGGGTGACAGCAGAAGAAGGGTATAATGCTTTGGAGGTGAGTAAAAGGTCCACACTTATATACAAATTAATATATGCGTCATTTAATTTCTTGCCAATAACATAAAGTTTTATTATAGGTGGCTTTGAATTTCGTAGAACAGTGTGAAGAAGCGACCCCTGCCGACGTATTACTGATAAAACGTTGGCTAAGTATTGCCGCGAGAAAAAGGGCGGGAAACGAGCGCCAAACAAAAAAATCTGATTATTTGAAAAAAATTAAATGTTAAAAAAATACCAAATTCTGTACTTTATATACATTTATTATAAATTTATGTAAATATTTATATTTTTTGTATATAAGATTAATAAAAGTTATTGATATGAATATTTTTTACATTTACTTAATTATATTTGAAGTAAACTAGTACTCACGTACAGTATATTGTTCAGTGATCAATTAATAACGTTGGCTAAGTATTGCCGCGAGAAAAAGGGCGGGAAACGAGCGCCAAACAAAAAAATCTGATTATTTGAAAAAAATTAAATGTTAAAAAAATAGCAAATTCTGTACATTAATATACATTTATTATAAATTTATGTAAATATTTATATTTTTTGTATATAAGATTAATAAAAGTTATTGATATGAATATTTTTTACATTTACTTAATTATATTTGAAGTAAACTAGTACTCACGTACAGTATATTGTTCAGTGATCAATTAATAAGAAAATAAAACAATGCAACGTATCATAAAATAAATCAATTGTTACTTTCTCGCTAAATATAATCGACAAAGGAAACAAAAAATTAATTTAAAACTTCATTAATGTTTGGTAGTGTTGCCCAAAATCGGTCTTAGTTTTGCACTTTGCAAGACCAAGACCAACACCAACACCGCTTATCTGTTGCAAGACCAACACCAAGACTGAAAAAAAAAAATCAATTTTTTTGAATAAAAATTCAGGCAAAATAACAATAAAACAAGTAAACACTTAAAAATACTTAACAATTTTAGTTACTATATGTAAAGAATTGGTATAACCAATATACTTTTGCATTTAACTCCTCTAATTTTTCATTCAGACTTAGTTAGGTTTCTCATATCTAAAAAAATACAGTAATATCTCTCTAGTAATAAGCTAATAGGTAAATGCAAGACTGTTACGAGAGTCTAGAGCAAGACCAAGACTCATCTCGATCTCGCATTTGGGCAACACTAATGTTTGGAACCAACATGTTTATAAATTTCAATAAGCTATATCTTTGCTCTAAATGGTCGGATTTCGATGATTTTGTTTTCCTTTTGTAGGGAATCTAGTAATCTTTTGTATAATCACGGACATAAAGTGTGTAATTTTCGAGTTATTCTCAAATAAAGTTTCTTTTCTTTCATAAATTTTTTGCCTGAATTTTAGGGGTGAATGGACTTTTTTGCCCGCCTGAAGGAGAAGGAAACCTTTAAAATTTGTCATTCCTTCTTGGGATATGGTGAAGAATTAACAATGATGTGGCCCACCGACAAAAAACTCTGACAAATAATATAAACTCCTCTTCTCACGATCATAGGGGCTCAAGTCGACGAAAATGCGTTGACGAAAAAATATTTTCAATGACAGTACTACAATTAGCGTAAGATTGTGTGGATGCGAACCCTTTGCCTTGCATCATCTCGAAAATATTACGTTTTTGGGCTTAAGAACGGAGGGCCCGATAGTTCCGAAGGGCCCAAGTCCGGTCAATGACCTTGATTCCTTACCAAGAAGGATAATTGAATCTTGTGAAACAATAACACATATCCAGTGCCGTTCTGCCACTGCTGCTGTTGAAGAAAGATGCCGAGCCTGTCTTAATGCTCGAGGAAATCACATTGAACAACATTTAATGTTTACGTTTAATTAATTAAGTTGTTAGAACAAATAAAAGGTTTCATTTATTTCATATAACGTAAATAATTCATAACTATGAACATCTCCTAAACAAAGCGTTTGCGGACATACCTTCACAGGAAATTTTTTTCTTGTTTTGCGGTCCTTAGTTCTTTTTTGCAGTTTGGTCATTTAACCCTGAAACACCCTGTATAAAGTATCGGAAAATTCAGAGTTCCTCTCATTATCTCAAATATTTAAATAAACATAAGTATCCTATTCAGTTACATCAAAGAACTGAGACTTTGTCTCATTGCCTCAAACCTTTAAATAAAAATATGTAACTTATTCAGTTGCTTTGTATGTAACTTATACACATATGCAAAAATATACCCATATATGTTGCCCAAAATCGGTCTTAGTCTTGCACTTTGCCAACATCGCCTATCTGTTGCAAGACCAAGAGCAAGACTGGTAAAAAAAAATTAATTTTTTGAATAAAAATTCAGGAAAAATATAAATTAATTTTTATATTAACTATTACATTTTTAGTTTTATAATAACTATGGTTTTTTTTATGTTTATTATCAACTATAATTTGTATACACAATATAAACTCTCGAGATCTTTTTGAAGGATATATCGCTCCCCACAACCAGAATGGAAAGTCTGCATCTAAGCATACCTGAATAATTGTGACTGATTTAAATTTTTTTTTTTTAGACATTTAATATTTTGTCTCGAGGACAGTAATTATAGTAATAAATGAACACGTTCACTCCATATATACAAAAAATATATTATTAACAAAAGTAAAATAATATATAAAAACTATGTACAATAAAAAATGAAATAACCTAAATATAAGTAAATTAAAAACATAAAAACACAGTCATACCTATATACAATATAGGCCCATAATGATGATTACCTAAATATAATAATTTGGTTAACTGGTATTCCATTAACAGCTACTCCTATAGAAAATATCTGGTCAGAATAGGCTTGGCCTACCCAGATTGCAGCCTACGGGAGATATCATTGGTCAAGACACTGGGGTAGGTGGACATGGTGGGGGGAGGGATGGAGTCAAGAGGAGGGAGGGGGAGGGGAGAAACGCTGAAGAGCGACAGAGCTGGATATGACGGCAAAGGTGAAGTATATCTCTGGCCCTCCCGCGCCTCAGCTGGATCCTACGCTCAGCCTCGCCGAGGTGGTCTTTGCAGGCCTCAAGAGGAACAATGTCAAGGCAACCGCTCAGGTCTCAATATTATTTATAAACAAAATTAATTTTAAAAAATAATAATAAATAAAGTATTACATGCTACCAGCTGAGATGAATCCAAAGCGAGCTCATAAACTGGTACACGGGCGGATCTACGGGGGGAGGGCTCTCGGACTGAAGCCCCCTCCCAAAATGGTAAAATATAACCATGTTTTATGAAAAAATATATTAAAAAATTATCTCTTAAAGTATTATTGTTCATGTAATTACATTTAAACGGACCTGAGGAATCACTTAAATATCATTTCATATAGATAGTTAGTTTCTTTCTTTTTTTCCAAAGTAATTATCGCCATTTTTATGAAAAAAAAAGCTTTCGGGCTGAAGCCCCCCCAAAAAAATTTAAATCCTGTATCCGCTAGTGAACTGGTACAAATATTATATCATCAGAATAATTTTGAGAATCTGCGCTATTGGTTAAATGTAATTAATTATGCCAACTTTAACAATATACAATATTAACTGAGAGGCTTCATATCTAAGGCAGAAATCTGTCATTTTCAGAAAGTGGGGAAAAAGTCAATTTTTGTTTAATGGGTTCAACTCAAACTGATGATTTTATTTAAGAATATTCAAGTTTGAATAATGACAAAACATTAGAATTGGTTCAAATCGAAGCTATGTATACAAAAATTGTTGTTTGTTGCTATTTATAGGCTTAAAACCCTTAGGCCTTCAACGCCTACAGTTTATTTCAACTATAAGTTATGCAAAAATTGTTTAGATAAATAAGTTATTTTTTATCATCGATTTCTAGAAAAACATTACCTAATACATATAAAAGCTATTAGTATTAATGATATCTATCCTAGTTGTCTTACTATAAGGTACCAACACCGACCGATCACACAGATATAAGTTTATAGGAAAATTCAACCTTTAAAAATTTTATTTAGATCAATTTCTATCATATTGGAAGTAACAATAAATTACATGGCCTAAGACAAAAGGTTTCTTTGACTTTTTTATTTTTTCTTATCCTGTAGCACAGTCTCTATCTACCTCCAGTCATCCCTACAATCCTCCTTGGAGGTTAAAACGGCAGTGGCCCCGCGACCTTTTCTAAAAATGTATATATTGGAGTACTGGCACTGGCTAGATTCTTCACTCATGTCCTGAGCGTCTGTTGCTCTAATGCCCTCCCATCAGTCTCCACTGGCTTACTATACCACTGACGTGGCTGGGAGAGAGCACTGGGATCTCCTAGAGTCCTGCTTTGGCTTCCGCAGTTGGGGGACAAAGCTTGATTCGGAGTCCCCTGGGCCAATGTAAATATTGTACATAGGTGTGAATGTGTTTTATTTATTTTGTTATTATTCGGCTAATCTGTTATTTTACTTATCTTGTATATTACTTTATCTTTTTATTTATATATATATACATATATATTTTTTTTTTTTTTCCTTTCTTATGTACATATTGTGTGAATGAATACTATAGCCCTAGTACCAATGCCCTTCAGTGTGACAGGCTGTATTAATACTCAATAAAAAATAAAACTAATAAAAGAAAGGGAAGTTTGATCGTGAAAAAATTCAATTTTGAGTCCCCTGAGTCCAAGAAAAAAATCAGGTGTGTCCACATGACTTTCCTACCTATTTCAGAAAAGTTTTTAGATCTTTACATATGTCCATCAAGGAACAAAAAAAAATTAATTAGATTTATTTTCCGGAAAACTGAATCAAAGAAAAGATTTGAGTACGATTTATTTGATTAACTAAAGCTATGTAAACCGGCTTAAGGTAGATCAATATAACAATTTCAATACCCTCTAATATTGCTGATCAAAAACTTTTTGGCACAGCTTAATTTTATCAAACAGTAATTTCTGTTAAAAGTAGAGGTAATAGTGAAGCTTGTGTGATGCGGGCAACAGATTTTGTTACTTTCACTAAGATATCTTTTTTCTCTCATTCATCCCTTTCTGACACCAGGATATGTACCCGTAATCTTACATTACACATTGAATAGCTGTAACTTCGTTAATAGTTGTCCAAAATGAACGATTTTTTAAATAGTTTTTAGGGAATTTCATTACTTTTTAAAACAACCTGGCACGCGCAACACATAACATTCACTTACCGCTCAACTTTGTATAGAAATAAATTTTCTAGCCATGTTGGGCTATTACAAAAAATCGGATTGCATTTTTTACCGAACTACAGCTACAAAAAACAGCTAAAAATCACAAATACCATTAAAATAACAAAATTCCTATTTATTGCATTAACGGTTGATTATGGATTGTGCGATCGGTTAACTATGGATTGTACGACTATTAGTTATTAAACTGTTAAAGGGGATATTTATGCTATAAATTATATTCAACTGAATATTTATTTCGAAATACTGGAAATTCATTGTTTTCATTTCGACTTTTATTTTATGTTTGTATTTTTTTTTTAAACGGAGTGTTTGTTTAAAAAAATGTCCTATCCTTTATCCTCGATCCTTTTCACCAAAACTCTACTTCCCAACTCTACTATTATGACTAATGTCCTAAATTCCTGTCACTACGATGAATTATAGAAATATTTTCTTGACAATTTTTACCATATAATAGCAGTATCTGAAACCTGGCTAAAACCTTTTATCCCGTTCTCCCAGATTTCCTTACCCGATTACTCATTTCTACGTCACGATAGATCTCATCTCCCGGAAGGTGGTGTCGGATTATATATCCATGACAGTCTTAAGGCCAAATCCTTCTACAGTATCCTTATCATGATTTTGTTCACATAGAATACATGTTCGTTGAAATGTCCTCTCTTTCCTCTCCTGTTATATGCCGTAGTTTACCGAAATTTAAATCTTCTCTCCCATGAATCCTTTCAACCAGACCTTCAATCTGTCCAATGGGACACCATATATTCCTACAACTCCATTGATTCTATGGTATCCACCCTGACCTCAAATCTACAGTCCATATTAGACATCCGCGCTCCTTTGAAAACCAAAACCTTACTCCGTCCCACTGCACCTTGGTTGACCAGTGAGATGAAGAAAATGATGAGGAGAAGAGATGCAGCAAGGCGCAAATACCGTCGAATCCGTCTAGCTGTGGATTATACGTCTTTCAAGACGGTTCGCAATGGGACCCAATCCGCAGTCCGTCTTGCTAAAACCACCTACTTCCATAATGCCCTGTCCAATGCTCCCGACTCCAAATCTAAATGGAAAATACTCCGTAATCTATCCCTACCAGAATCCAATAATCTTTGTTCCTTCTCTCTTTCTTCAGATGATCTCAATAACCATTTCTTTTCCTTTACTCACACTTTCTCTCCTACTTTCGATATTACAATCCTGATGACTTATTTTTCTCCCATGTGACCTACGATGAATTACTTTCCACTATCCTAAAATTCCAAACTAATGATTATATTCCTGATAATATTCCAGTAAAATTAATAAAATCCAGCCTTCCTGACCTTATTCCTGTTCTTTATCATATCTACAGCTTTCCATTGCAAAACTCCATATTCCCATCTTGCTGGAAAATCGCCCTAGTCCTACCTTTGAATAAAATTGCCAACCCTACCTCACTGCACGACTTCCGTCCTATTTTTCTTCTGTCCAACCATTCAAAGCCGTTAGAACGCCTTGTCCAAAATCAGCTCTCCAACTTCCTAGAAGAACGTTCTCTTATCAATCGATTCCAATCTGGCTTTCGACCTGGCTACTCAACGCAATCCGCTCTCCTTAAAATAACCTATGACCTCCAAAATTACATGGAACACCAAAACCTTACTGTCCTCATCCTACCTAGATTTTTCTAAAGCTTTTGACACAGTTGACCATAACATCATCCTTAATAAATGCACAATCTTCCTCTATCCAACAGTGCCCTGCGCTGGTTCAAATCGGTCCCAGTATGTAGTCGTCCCAGGTCAACCTTGATCTAAGACCCTCCACCCCTCTCCTGTGGTGTCCCTCAAGGTTCCTCTCTATCTCCTACTCTGTTTGCTATTTATATCCATGACCTTCCCCTCCTGATCCATCACTCCCAATAACATATCTATGCAGATGATTTCCAAATATACAAGTCCTTCTCGCCCTCCGACCTATTATTAGCCATAGAAAAACTTCAAGAAGACTTGGATAGGATTTGTGACCGGGCGAGAGCAAACAAGTTGAAGTTGAATGCGGAAAAGACAAAGGCAATCTTAATAGGCTCCAATCACCTCCTTAAAACTGTTCCTAATATTCCAACTCTGTTCCTTCATGATAATCCCATCAAATTTTATCCCACCATAAAAAACCTTGGAATAACCATTGATCAAACGCTTTCCTGGAAAACCATATATCCAATATTTCCCGCCGTACCATTTCCACCCTATAACGTCTAAATTATTCCCGTCACCTATTTCCTTTTGAAACCCATAGGCTCCTAGTCACTTCCTCAATATTTCCTCACTTTGACTATTGCTGTACGGTATACGGGGGCAGAACCTAGTTCGAAAATTAAAGGTCCTACAAAATTGAAATAACCTGTTTTAGGTGAGTATATGTTATAGCTTATTTTTCTCTAAAATTGACTAACCGGAAGTGCCACCTTATATTATCGATTCTATAGATTTTCACAATTTCCTTAAAGACGGAAGACGTCATTTGGTTTTAAGGTAGGCTTTATCCTTATTTATATAGACTGATAGGGTTTTAATGTAAATTCCTTTCTCTAAAGTATCTTTAGTTTGGTGTTATTTATTTTTTCTTTTGGAATTACATCTTTATTATATCTTTTGCCGACGTGACCATAGCCTTCTCCATCTCTGCCCATAGGCGCAGATTTTTCATTTTGATTGGGGGGAAGGAAGCCCCATAAAAAAAAAAAAAAAAAATGGCTGTTGTTTACATTATGTAAACGAATTCAACACAATTATTATGAAACGAACAAATATAATATTGGATATAAAAAAATAAATTTATATATATGTTTGAATAGTTGTAGGATTTTTTTTTTTTTTATCTCCTTA